CTGGTCACTGTAGTCCTCCGGGAATTGCCTCTGCACCTCAGGATCTGTAAATAATTGACAGATAATATTAATTGGCTTTGGATTAGTGAGCAAGCAGAGGATCACACATTAATATTTGATCAGAAGATGATAGCAGCCCTGGCAGGGGATCCAAGGGGGGCAGCTGAGGCTGCTATGTTGATGAGCACAAGGAAGGACTCGGCAAGGCACTCCCATTACCCTCCTCCAGAAATATAAAAAAGAAAAATTTTAAAGACCTGATGCTACTGTTAACTTTAGACTATTACCTAATGCAAAAATCTTGCCAGCTGCAAATTGCCCTCAATATATTTTTCCAGAGAAAACGAGTCTTAAACCTGCTTGACTTTTCTTCTCTAATCAGAAGCCTCCTTTGCATAGTTACAGATGTGGGCTTGATAAACCACCTTAAGCACTGGTTCAGACTGGGGAGAAAGGGGGAGCGAGAGAATTCTTTCAAGGAATAAATGCAAAACTCATTGCTTTAATAAATGAAATCTATCCTTCTCAAAATGCTTATACACTCTTATGAAAAGGCAGATAAAACTAGATGGAAGTTTTCTTCAAAAGAGAACCAATGTTTTTGGCTTGTCAGTATAAACAAAATATCATGAAAAAATTATGTTCCAGCTGACATAATCAAACTTGCTCAGAAACTATACAAATACACAGGGGAAAATACCTTTTATGACCACCTATTTAAAATGGAGTTACTAAAGAGATCACTTTATTCTTAAATCACAAGCAAGATGATTCAGTGCCATCTTCTGTAAGTCAATACAGAAGTGAAAAAATTAAAAGCTATTAGCATTCCATTTACTATCGATTAGGAAAACATTCAATCATTTCTAATAAAGAAAAGATCTGATTCCTTGGAGACATGTTAAGGGAAGTGATCAGAGGTCAGAATAATATCTATTTGAGAAATCATATATCAATTCAGAGGCTTATGGAAAATCACAGATTTGAGGGTCTCCCGTCTAACAGTGATCACGATATATGCTACCCATAGCTACCTTTAAATACAACACTAAAACACTAATTTACATCCCTGTGAAAGTGAATCCATGTAAAAGTTCACTGCAGTCCATTTCTGCAGTGAATAATCAAGAAGAGAAAAAACTAAGGGCCTATTCACAAACTACTAGGATCCTAGAAATACCAGTTTTCAAGTCATTACAGCCAATGTGTATTATTTTTTAAAACCCAAGACTAACAACAAAAGCAGGAATATTCAAAAGGTTACACCAAAACCTTTTGAATATTCCTGCTTTTGTTGTTGAGTGGTGCCAAAAAGTTGAAACTCTCTGCAAGTGATTTCAAATCTTTACGTGTCTTTTGGTTGGCTTAAAAGCTGGGAATCAATTTCTTTCTTCACCCTCATCTTCAACTACTGGGAAGGAATCGATGTGTCTAGACCAACTAGAGAACTCTGGAGTAATGCCCCTGCAGTACCAATTCAGGGCTTCCCTGGTAGGCAGCAGCTTCTTCACTTGACCCGTCTTTGGCCCCAAGGACTGAAACTGCCCAAGGACTCAGCCCTTGTGAGAGAGGAGGCCAGCGGGCACCAAGAGTGTGACAGGAAAAGGACTAGGCCAGCAGTGAAGAATTCACCAGCAGGAGACAAAGGGGCAGCCTGCTGCCCAACAATCCTCTACCAGTGTGCAGTGAGGGGAAAAGGGGGTGAACAAAGGGAACAAGGGGCCTAAAAAAGAGGGCAGTGGCTATAATTTCTAAAACATACATAAATAACTTAAAATTTGGTCCAGAGACCCAAAAAATGCAGCTCTAAGCCACTGAGGGACATAATAAAACAGAGGTTGGGAAAGCCACTAAATCATCTAAGGCTTATTCTTTTTCTTCCAATTGATATGTGGTTTAACACTTATTCTTTAACTACCAAACTTCATACAAAAATTACTCTCATGCCAATCGTTACTATCATGCCCTCTTTCTTGCAGTAATTTGTGCTTCTTGGGAACTACAAAATACCCATGAAAACAAAACCAAAGATTACTTTTCTATCACCATTTTGTGAAAGACTATATGTCCGAAACCAAAATTTGTAGTATATTCTTCAATTTTTAAAAATACCATTCTTATTCACAAGTGGCAGATGGTTCTTAAATCTTTTCAGTCAACTATATTAATAAGAAATCATAACAAAAAAATCATATAAAAATATTTTTGATTAACATATACAACATAGAATTGAAAAAAGCATGGGAAAATCAATGAAAAGAAAAAAAAAATCAACCTATCTTAACACATTGAAGATAAAGATGACCATGGAATGCCAAAAAGGAGGCCATTCAAACTGTATTATTCCAAATACTGCCTCAATGGAAAGCAACATAAACACCATCAATTAAATTCCTTCAATTGCCCTAAGACTCTCTAAAATGAAATTACCAGGTTTTAACAGAATAACGTTCCAAGATAATACATGCATTATTAGTTACTATGATTCAAGCATACAACTTTTGGTTTCTTTTCATTAAGGCCTCTAACATTTACAAAAAACAAACTTCATAGGTCTTTAACATTCACCAAAGTAATATAATACATTTTTTGAAAGAAAGGAAGAAAAGCAATGCTTTTTAAAACCAAGTCAACCTATAAAGTTCCATTCAATCAGCTCGAAGATTCAGTCCGATAGTTCATAAAACTACGAAAGCCATTTTGGAAAGATTAACACAAAAACTGCAAATAATTTATTTGAATTTTCTTAAAATGTCTATTTAACACAGGAGGCTGAAATCTTTTTTCACACTGAGTCAATCGCAATGCCATAATGTCACCAAAATATCGACATTGGAAACATCTGAGTTAAAAAGGTCCAAATACAATCTGCTTTTCTCAAGCAACACAACACCCGCCTTACTAACAGTTTCAGCATGGCACATGTACAAAACCTAGCACCCTGCAGTTAAGCAAACCGCCTTTAAATTTTCTGTCTGGCAGCAATCCACTTGCGTGTCTGTATGTTTTTACAAGTACTCTATGTATTTCATTGCGTCAGCTGCATTTCTTTGAGTTTTAAATGGTCTGGGAACATTTTATGAAATGTTCTATATCTTTATATGGAAAATAACATACACTGGAAAACTGCATCGGTCTAATATTTATATATCTATTTCTTTATCCACCATTCAATGCTATAATTGCTTATGTTCCAAAACACCTTCTCACATTCATAAGCTCACCATCAAATGTAGTGTCACCAAACAGCTAACTTTCAACACAAAAATCTGCAGGGAAGAGTACTACCACAGAAGAAAGTAACATAATTTGCTTAGGCAATTGGCAGTAAGAATAGAGTAATCAGCGTATGTCAAGCTTTTTCCCCAAGAATTGTCCCACTGACAGAAAATTAAGAATCTAGTGGTACATAGCACACCCTTCTTTCCTTATCCTTTTCTCTCAACAACTTTCTCCTACTTTAGGCAATAGATAACTTACAAACTTAAAAAAATCAATGCCATCAACTCCCAGGAAAATACTTTTCAACACGAAAAAAATACTGTATTTAAAAATCTTGCTAATAATACGTACACTCTAATAAAGTCCATGCATCTCTTAACCAAAGAGGCAGGTGGCTCTCAGACAAGGTTTCATATCATGTCATTGTGATGTCACAGCACCATGGCCATCAAAGAGGCTGTCCCCACAGAAACGTATGCATCACTTTCACTGAAGCATTTCCATATTTAAACACACACATTTCACAGTATAGGACTCCCAAAAGCACAATCTCACTCAGGCACAGAACATGACCATGCTTAAAAAGCCATGTCTTCACAGCAGGAAAAAACTGATCTCCTAAACAAACATGTCTAACATTTTTTCTTTTAAGAAAGGCTAATCTGCTTCCACCTCAACAGTCTATGCTTTCCAGTCTTCTCCTATACATACTTTTAAATCTTTAAGATATACCAGATTGCCACAGAATGTTTAATTAATAGAATAAGAGTGTGGGCAAGACTTACTGGAAAGGTGCTATAAATTATTTTACACAGGCTCCAAAAACCCTGAGTTCTGCCTTAGGCTTAAAGTTCCTAGAAAACGTGGTAGACAGATCTTTTACAACAGAAATGCAAAATAATTCATAAAAGTGCTGTGGTTATGTATGAGGGCTCATTTGTACATTGGTAACTCGTATGTGTACACACACACACACCTTACCAAATTATTTTCCTGTTTCCCTTTGTCATACCAATGACTTCATTTAAAGAGTCATGACATATTTTTAAACTGATTAAAAAATACACCGACTTCATTTTGTACAAAACACATAACAACTGCATACTAACCAAAAGCCATTATCTCCTATAATAGGACCTCTTCTAGGAAATTTAAGAGAAACTGCAAATGTAGCAGTTAACACGGGAATCTACACTGCTTTCACTTTTAACATGTTAGGATTTCAGGGCAGAAAACATTACATTTAATGCCCGCTGAATTTACCCAATCATTATCTCTAGGATATTTCAGTCAATAAGAGACAAAATATTGAACATATTTAAAACTTACAATTACAAAATCTGCCCTTTAAAGAAGCAGGACTTTAACATCAGCTATAAACCATATAATCTCATTGTTCAATTTCATGGAGTTTAAGATACTATCTTCCTCTCCCCACAACCATAAATGTTAATCCAAGCTGTAATCAGATTTAATTTTCCAGATGAGAAGATGGGAATATGCTGCAAACAGGATAACAGTCCACTACACTGCCCTTTCACTAATGACATTTCCAAATTTTATATACTAAAAATGTAGACTTTCAGAAAATAGTCTAAGAAGTTGTATAGTTTGAGAACAAGCTCAAATTCTCCCCAAAATACACTCAGAAATAAGCTTTCTTTTAATCCTCAAAAAGAAAATGTTTGTATTACACAAAATTAAAGTTTCTTGATAAGATGACTGCAAACTGGACTGCATTAAATATAGCATTTCAAGGACACTAGTAAACTTACTAAAGCTACAAAAACTCAGCTTCATTTATTTTACATTGTAAAATACC